AGAATCTCCTGAAATACTCTTTAACTAAAAAGCTACATTCTTTCATCTGTCTGAGCTGTCACGTGAAGCAGCGCTAATTACTCCTTTTTTCTAAGAGCTGTGGCTTTTTTGGAAGAAAACTACTTTCAAAAACAGGTAAGGAGAAAAAGCTTTCTCATAACAAAGTCCTGCCCTAATACCATTTATTGTACCACTGTACATATCGCGCTGCTTGCCAGGAGGCAGGAGGACGCAGGCAACACAACGCTGCAGAATCCCCTTACAAAATCTCAGTTAGGAAAACCATTTGGGCTGTTTCAGTCTTTGATGCCAGCGCCAACTTAAGTAGCCACAAGGCTATAGGACATATGGAGTGTTGTGTGTGCTCGAGAAAAAAACCAACCACTTGGTGGATGCAGAGGAGAGGAGTACATCCCACCTGAGATCCCCCGCTTGTCATCTCGTATGTGAGATGGGTCAGTGGCAGAAGAAATAGAAATAGAAATGTACGGTCAAGCGCTGCCGGGTGACGTTGTCCTGGATTATGAGCAATGGAGCCTCTCCCCTCTGGGTCCTTGCTTGCACCAAGCCAAGGTCGTGCTCAGAGATGGTTGCGGCTGATGACGAGCAGCCTGGGTGAAACGAGCAGCGGATGCTCCCAGCCCCGGCCCACAAGGGCACCGGAGGGCAGACAGAAATAGCGCTGTGCCTCTTGCTGCAAGAGGCAATTTCAGTGTAGGGGTGAGCTAGCCTGGGAAGTTGTCAGAGAGGCACGTTCTGGCCTACTGATCATGAACAATTGTCATTTATTCTCAAATGAAGAAGAGGAGGGGGGCAGACAGGTGCTTGGGGGGCAGGGGGGAATGTCAAGCTGCGCTGAATTTGGTTTATGACTTGATTCGCAGCTGCCTTGGAAGAAGAAGAGGCAGTTGTTAAAGATTAGACTGCTCTGGAAATATTATCTTAGATATGAGATGCTAATGCAAATAGCCCTCCCCCCCCTTTACTGCTCTGCTAAGTTTTGGGTCACCTTGACTTTAGCGGGGGGGTGGTGTTCTTTTTATTAATTGTTTTTTTTGCCCTTGCTTTGCCAGCATCCATGGCTGTGCAAAGGACGAGGCGAGAGGGTGTTATCTCCAGGCTCACCTCCCCCTTGCCCCTCCAGCTGAAGCTCTGTGGAATAGACTGGGGACCAGCATTACATCAGAAAATCTGTATTATAAACCATACTGCTCATTATTAAGCTCACATCCTCTCACCTACGCAATATATTTACTCTCTTACACGTTGAATCTTCCTACAGCCAGTGTGCTTAACTGACAGCCCCCCTGAACTTCGTTCCGTGGTTTCTGGATGACATGCAATGATTAAGGTTTACCTGGGATGTATCGATTTAGGAATGCATCTTACTTTAACCTTGAGAAGGGAAGGTTACCAGACCCAGACTATTTCCTTCAGTACTCTGTTGTAGTAGGTAATGTCTGTGTCTGAATTCAGCTCCTCTTTGTGCCTAGCACTGACTGATCGGAGTCCTTTCATAGTTGGTATTTCTTTTCTGTAAGAATATTTATACATTAATGAAGCCATACTTCAGCCTTACTTTGGATAAACTACCTGCAGAATTCTCTAAGTCTTTTAGAGTAGGACAACTTCTCTCTGCACCACTTACACCAATTTCCTCTGTAGCATTCAAACTTCTGTTTTTCTGAAAGAATAAAACCCAACCAAACAAAATTCTCTTTTCAGCCAAGAATTGATGGAGATGGAATCTGGAGGGGAGAACTGAGAACGATGTTCACTTGCTGTCTGTGATGCCAAACCTTGAGTGCATTGCTTCCAATTCATTGCAAGTTCTACAAAATACTTAATTTTCCTTGCATGACACAGGCATCAGAATTGCATAAAGGTTCCAAAACTGATCTCAGTGGTGTTGTCTGCAGAGGAATAATTGCATCCATACTTCCCCATGCATCCAGCCCGTGATTTTCCTTGATAACACTGCAGCTGAGTTACCATCAACTCACCAGTGCAATAAAAAGTCCGTCTAAGGCACCTTTATTAGCACTTGGTCTGGAATGACTAACGTCTTTGCTGACAAGTGATTGTACCTGAATTCTGGTGAGCTGCAGTGAAGTAAGTGGAAAATATCATAGGAAAATTTCTGTACCTCATAGAGGGTCATTTCTGAGGAGCCAGATACACTGAGCTAAAGCAGAGCATCCCTCAGCCTGCTGTCCAGAGGAAAGATCAGGCGCCGGTGTGCTCCTGCACTGTTGATCTGCTCCCAGCGGCTCACTGGGCGAGAAGGTAATCGATGCTGAGCAGGTACACAGCTCCCAGACCAGCCCAAACATGAGGGCTTGTTTTCTTGCTTTCTGGTTTTTAGGGACATGTACTGACTTGATCTAATGGCTGCAAGCTGTGAACAACGGTGTTAAATGAAGCGTGGCCACGCAGCGGGTTGCGTAACCACTGCGGCGCGCCGTGCTGTACACAGTGCCCCATATAGAACCATCAAACCCGGCTCCGGAGAGCGGGAGGTGGTGACGAGCCCGCTGTCTCCCCAGCACTGGAGCTGCAAGGTGTGCTCTGGAAATCAAATAGCCATCAGGCTTTAACACTCCCCTGCTTTCTCTATTCCCTCTCTGGGAAAGTTTCTTATACCCTGGGTATCCATCCTACTAGTGACAGAGGCCTTAGCGCCCACAGAATACAGATTTTCTAAGACCTTTGGGTGGGGTTTCTTTGCTTTTCAGGAACCTGCATTCTCCTAATGCGTAATGAATTGGGGAGGAAGAAAAAGATATCCGTGAATCGCTCTGCAACACTAAAACCCTGAAATCTTGAAGAGCTGGAAAAGGTTTTTTAAGGAAATGGGACTTTCACGTAGCCTCTTGCATAATTTTTTTTTAAATTTTATTAAATTATGCATTAATATTTCAGAGCTGGGTGCAGCCGTGCAGTGGATTTTGCAGGGAAGTTGCCAAGCAGCTCTGGGAGGGTTTGCTGCGACACCATCAGGAGTGGATGTTGCATGAGGTGATGCCGGCGGCAAAACTGACTCCAGTCCCTTTGCTCTTCGCTTACCCCTTCCCACCCAAGTAAACACCATTCTTTTTATATCAGCTTTTTCTGACATTTTGCATAGTTTTAGAGCGTGCTCTTGTAGGCTTCAAATATCAGCAGCCTTTGCCCAAATGATAGTTTGCTCCAGGCAGCTGGGCATGATGAGAGCGAGTGAACGGGCAACAGAGTCGGGAAGAGAACAGCCACAGGAATTTTGAAACATCGAAGACGTGTGGACCGAACGGCCCAGGTTTTGCTTTCCTCCACGCAATAGATGAGAAGGTCAGGTTAAATCTGTCTTCTTGTGAGGACGGGAATTGTTTCTGTGTCTTTAGCAAAATAAACAAGCAAAGATGGCTCTGGTTGGTTTGTTTGGGCTGTACTCTGCCATAGCTGATCTGAGCCTAAAACCACTTAAATCATTATAGGAAAGAACAGTCTCATGGGAGGCGACAGCTTTCACAGTACAGAGCCAGTTTAGCAGCCATTAAAGTGCTAAATCTACCAGTTTCTTTGGACTAGCAGGGAGAGGGGGTAGATAGAATCCAAGGATAAAGCTGGGGTTTTCTGGGCAGCCCCAGTTCCCGGCTGAGCGCCCACCCTGCGCAGCGATATTGCCGGAGGGGCTGCTCTGCCTGCAGCCCAGGCCAGGAGATGTGGCTTCCATTCCCCGCTGCTAAAACTTCTCCAGGCATCCCTGGGCACGTCCCTTTGCCTCTCTCTGCCTCAGCTGCCCGCAGAAAGGGGCGAAGAACATTGCCCTGCCTCGCCTGGGGTTTGAGCTCCCTGTGGGTGACTCGTGCTCTACCCTGGCCTTTCCATTGCCACAATCTGGCAGGTTTGTGCTCCCACCTGGGTCACGGCGTGTGTTTTCCTAGCCGTGGGTAACCTTTCTTCCCAGTGGGCTTCCCAAGGAAAGCGCTGATGACTCACGGAGGGCGAAATTACGCAGAGCTCCTGGAGTCAGCATCCTTTGCACTGGCGGAGGGAGGTTTTTAAAATGAAGATGAATCAGCTGTGCCAGACTTCCCTGGGAGTTAACTCCCGGCCTCTCTTCCACGCAGGCAGCCCTGGCTGCGTTTCCAGTGGAAGAAGCTCAGCGCGGCCGCAGCCTGCGGGAGGGAAAGCGATGGGCGCCGCGTAGGCGGCTTCGGGTACCGGTATCGG